CACCTGGCTCTGATTTTTTTCCTGTTTTTGGGTCTCACTTTGATTCTGTACCAAAGGTCTGAGTGCTTTTGGCTCCCTTGGAACTTCCCAGGGCCCTGATAACCCAAGATTTCTGGGGCTGGGTTTTGGGGTGGGACAGCAGCTCCTCAGGCCCACACACCCCTGTGGAGCAGGGTCTGACAGAACCAGCTATTGGAGGAAGAGGATTAAAAATCCAGATGCTGCTTTGATAGTGCAGATTTTCTTGAGAAACTTGTGTTCCTGCTCCAGAATTTCAGCCTTTGGAGCAGTTTTCAATGTGTATTGGAGGAAGGAAATGAAAAATCCAGGGTTCTGTTCTACCCCTCATTCCACCAAAGCAGATTGACTGGAACTGTTCTGTCCTGATACTGAAACCTTTTAAACCTTTCACAGCCAGAAACTGAAATTTGCCCTCAGTTTGTGGGATTTGGAGACAATTCTGCAACAACCCCACCCAAGAGTCTGACAGTGTTATTTACAGTTTATCATCCTGGATTTGTAGGTACCCAGGTGCTGCTAAACCAGTACAAAGATGGGCCTCTTGTCCAAGGCAGCTTTTATTGGCAGGACACTGCTTTGAGAGTGCAGATTCTCTCGAGAAATTTGGGGTTCTGCTCCAAACTTTCAGGATTTGGAGCAGTTTTCAGTGTGTGTTGGAGGAAAAAAAATAAAAATCCAGATTTCTGTTCTGCCCCTGACTACACTAAAGCAGATTGACTGGGACTGTTCTGTTCTGGTGCTGAAATCTTTCTGATAGGACACCTGGCTCAGAGCTCAGCTCAGGCTCTGGGGCAGTTTGGGGACACAGGGTTGTGTTCCTGGGCTGTGTCCCTGCTGTGAGGGGCTAGATAAAAGTCAGGAGGTTTATTCTTTGTTCTCAATGCATGACAAGCTCCTGCCCTGCCCTCAGGAGAACTGTCTGAACCTGCTTTCAGGGCCCCAAGAGTCTTCAGGAGGCATTTCCAAGTTCCTCATTTCAAAGGGTTTTTTTTTTCTCTTGCACCTGAAAACTTTCATTTTCGTGCACTGGGAAAGTTTTGGGGTTTTTTTCCACTTGAACGTGGAAACCTTAAAAGCTGCCCTGGAAAAGGGGGTGTGTCACACACGGGAAAGCTGGGAATGCCTCAGGATTTCCAGCTGGATCTGAGCTCCCTCCTGTCCCGAGCTGAGGTTGGGAATGGAGCAGCACAGTTTGTTCCCAGCCAGGCTCCAAACCCCATGTAGGTTGGCACATCCCTGCTCCCTGTGTGGCACAGGAAAGGGCTGTTTGCCTGTCCTAGAAATCTGTTGAAACAGATAATTTCACAACAACTCGTGGAATTTGGCAGGTGGAAGATAAACAGTTGGAGCAGGGAGCACTTGGAGCAGCTCCTCCTGCAGGCCTGGGGCTCTGTGGGGTGGGCTGGCTTTAACTGGGGGTTATTTGGGGGCTCAGGCTCTGAAATCTGGTTTGACAGAGACACTTCAGCTGTCCCAGGACATCTGGGGCACTGAGCCAGAGCAGGAGTGAATGAATGTAGAGGTTTGGGTTGTTTGGTGTTTGGTATTGTTTTGATTGGTGATGAACCTCCAGAAGCACAAACTGAGCTGCACTGAGAGCACCAGGAGCTCGAGTGAGCTGTGTCAGAGCACCAGGAGCTCGAGTGAGCTGTGTCAGAGCACCAGGAGCTCGAGTGAGCTGTGTCAGAGCACCAGGA